GGGTCCAGAGCGATAGTAAAGTGGGGAAGGCATTTGTCTTGCACACAACCAACCCGGGTTCGATTCTCAGCATCCCATAGGGTCCCCGAGCACTGCCAGGAGTAATTCCTGAATGCAGAGCCAGGAGTAACCTCTGGGCACAGACAGGTGTGACCCAAAAAGAGAAAAAAAAAAACGGGATCAGAAAATTACATACTCATGCTCAGCTGAGCTTCTTTTTTTTTGTACAAATGGAAAGTGTGCTTTAGAAATAAACTTTGTTCTAATTTAGTTCGGGTTTTTTTTTTTTTCTCCCTAGTCCTAATTCTTAGCCTGCACATCGGGCTGTGTTTGTGCACTGAGCACTCCCCAGGGTGTTTCACAGGGGTTCGGGTTGCTGTGAGATTTGGAGGTACCATGTGGGGCCGCCCGCCCGCGGGGCCTCTGCACAGACTGCTGGTCCCTACTGGTGCCGATAGACACACGTGGTGTGTGGGTTTGTGTTACTCAGCCAGCCGGTGTCTCCTTTCTCTGGCTGTCAGTTGCCTGCCGTGCCCTGAGATGTCTTCATCTGCAGCCCCCAGAGAGGCCGAGGTGCCACGGACATCGTGAGGCTCACAAGGTCCCGCCCGAGGTCCCCTCCCTGTTCTCTGCCAGCTCCGGCGTCCCAGGGTTCATACAAGCATCTGAGAAGGGGTTAAGGCATTTGCTTGGCACGTGACTGGCCAGGGTTTGCTCCCTGGCACCCACAGGGACACCTGAATCCCCCAGGAGTGATCCTGGGCATAGAGCCAGGAGGAAGCCCTGAGCATCACCAGGTGTGGCCCCAAAATTAAAATGAAGAATTCCCAGGGACCCAGGAGGATGGCTCGAGGGGCTGAGTGTGGGTTCTGCAGGCGGAGGCCAGCATTCCGTCCCCGGCACTGTGCGGTCTTCTGAACATTGCCTGGAATGATGCCCCAGCACAGAGCCAGGAGCAAGAACCCGGGCACTGATGGGTGTGACCCCAAAGCAAAGCTCAAAAGAATAAGAAATATAGAGGGGAAAGGAGAAAAAGAACAAGAAATATGAAAAAAAATTTCAGTCACTCCAGCAATAAAAGCGCTTTTTCCTTCCAATGTAAACCTCCTAATGTAAGAAGCATTGCGTCCTTTTCCCTAACAGAAAAATAGCAAGACCAAGCTCGGGGGATGGGGGAAGCCACACGCTTGGAAAAGGGTGCTTAAGCTTTACCACTGCAAGACTGCCATTGACGAGAAGCACACACTTGCCGTTCCGATGGAAAAACATCTTTCTTTTCCGGAGTTCTGACTGACAGTCCCCCAAAGCCCTGAAATTGCCTAAGTGGTTTTTCTTTTTAATTAACAATTGTGATTTACAAAGTTATAGATAACTGTGGGGGGTTGTTTGTTTGTTTGTTTTGTTTTGCTTTGCTTTTTTGGGTCACACCCGGTGATGCTCAGGGCTGACCCCTGGCTCTGCACTCAGGACTCACTCCTGGATGGGCTCGGGGGACCATATGGGATGCTGCGAATCGAACCCGGGTTGACTGCGTGCAAGACAAATGCTCTACCCACTGTGCTACCCCTCTGGCCCCATAGGAGACTCTAAGAACAGGGCTGTGGAGAAGATCCTGGGGCACAACAGGGACGGGCGTGTCTGCACCTTCACATTTAGAGTCCAAGAGCCCAGAGACTCTTGGTGCCTGAGTGGATGCTGTTCCAGGAGCCTGACCAAGTCAGCACAGCCACGGGCTGGGATTCAGCCCCCAGCCACTCTGTCCCTGGAGAAGGTAGCGGGATGGACAGCCCTATCCTCCCATCCCACCCTCGGTTCCCCCGGCAACCAGCCCCACTCCTCAGCGGGGTCCAAAACCTGCTTGTGTTTTAAACGTATAATATCAGCACCAATATTATACTGCTTCACACAATCAATAACGCCTTTGCCACTCTCAAAACTTAGGTAATTTCACAAAAAACACTCTCTCAAAAGGACATATGCACACCGTGATTCACTGCTGTACCCACACAATAGCTAAGATATGGAGTAACATAGGTGTCTGGCGACACGTGAATGGATTATGAATATAGGGTATACAGACATGATGGAATACTACACAGCTGCAAGGAATGATCAACTCATGTAGTTTGCTTCAACACGGCTGGAACTGAAAGACATGTTGAAGAAGTATCACGGTATCATATATGATTGCTTCAGAGCAAGATGACCTGCAGATCTACTCTTAAAAACTGGAAACATGGAGTCGGAGAGATAGCACAGAGGGGAGGGTATTTGCCTTGCACATGGCTGACCCAGGTTCAATCCCTGACATCCCATAGGGTCCCCCAGGCCAGGAGTGATTCCTGGGTGCAGAGTCAGGAGTAACCCCTGAGCACTGAAGGGTGTGACCCAAAAAGAAAAAAAAGGGGGGGAAATGGAAACACAAGGTCCCGGGTTCAAAAACTGTGATGAATTTCAGGACAGAGACTCAGCTATAGACACAGCCCAGTCTGGGGCCCTGGGAAACCTCCCTGAAGGGTCGGTGAGTTGATCACAGGCCCAAGAAGGGAGGAGGAGGCTGAAGGAGGGAGAATCATCCCCCGAAGGCCCTTTTGAACCATTCTAACTTTTCAACATGTCTATGCCTCACATTCTCAATCCTTACAAAATAAAACCGCCTACCACCAACCTCACCCCAGCACCTGCTCCCCACACACACAAAAATAAATTCTCATTTCTTTACCCAACGAGAGCCACAGTCCAGACACCAAGTGATGGTTGATTCCTGTTGGACCTTCCAGAACCTTTTGTGAGGGTTAGGATGGAGGAGTTTAGGAAGGGAGTGCGGAGGGGCTCTTCATGACACAAGAATCCCTCTCTGTATCATGCTAAGTGAAATGAGTCAGAAAGAGAGGGACAGACATAGAAGGGCTGCACTCATTTGTGGGATATAAAATAAGATAATATGAGACTGACACCCAAGGACAGTAGACACAAGGGCCAGGAAGATTGTCCCATAGTTGGAAGCTGCCTCATGAGCTGGGAGAGAAGGCAGATGGGATAGAGAAGGGATCACTAGGACAATGATAGTTGGAGGGATCGTTCAGGATGGGAGATGTGTGCTGAAAGTAGATAATGGACCAAACATGATAGTTTCAGTATCTGTACTGCAAACCATAATGCCCCAAAGTAGAGAGAGAGTATGGGGGAAATTGTCTGCCATGGAGGCAGGGGGAGGGTTGGAAATTGGGGGTATGATGGGGACATTGGTGGTGGAGAACGTGCACTGGTGGAGGGATGGGTATTTGATCATTGTATGACTGAAACTCAAATATGAAAGCTTGTAGCTGTATCTCACGGTGATTAAGAAGAAGAAGAAGAAGAAGAAGAAGAAGAAGAAGAAGAAGAAGAAGAAGAAGAAGAAGAAGAAGAAGAAGAAGAAGAAGAAGAAGAAGAAGAAGAAGAGGAAGAGGAGGAGGAGGAGGAGGAGGAGGAGGAGGAGGAGGAGGAGGAGGAGGAGGAGGAGGCAGTGAAGGCAGCAGTAGTAGCAGCAGCAGCAGAAGTCCTCTCTATCCCTGAAAGCCCCAGGTTCATTCCACTGGTAAGTCCTGACCCCGTGCTAGTCGCACAGTAGGACCACATGGGAACATGCTCAGACTCTATACTGAGACTCAGAACTCGGCAAGAATAAACCAGTGCCAGTCTGAGTGAGCACGGACAGACACCAGGGTCCCAATGCCTCAGCATGGCCTTAGTTGGAGAACAGAATATTGGCAGGTGGCCCTACTGGGTTAGCATTACCCAGTTCCTGTTCCAGATCAAAAGCCCCATCAGATGCAGAAACAGAGACAGAAAGGGATGTTCCCACAAGCCAAGGACACCAGGGCTATGTGCCAGCCCCAGCAGCTACAGGGAGGCTGGGAATACATGCTCCCTTGAAGCCTCTGGAAGGAAGGAAGCCAGCCTGCCCACGCCCTGACTTCACACTGGCCACCAGCCTGCAAGGACAACAAGGTCAGGTGTCTGAAAGCCATCTGTGGCTTTCAAAACAAACACCTCCTTGCAGGAAGGAAGCCGGGAGTTGGATCCCTGGCACCCCACATGCCAAGTGTGAATTCCAGTGCTGTAGCACATGTGACACACCACGAACAAGTGTGTGAACGCCCCCGCCCCCAGCAACACAATGAGATGGACACCCAAGGACAGTAGACACAAGGGTCAGAAAGATTGTACTTCGTGGGCTGGAGTATATTCTTGGCATGGGGGAGGCCCAAGTTTTACCCTTGGCACATGGTCCCCTGAGCCCCATTAGGAGAAAGTCTTGAGCACTAAGCTAGGAATAGCTCCCAAGCACCACCAGGTGTGGCCCAAAATAAATTAAGGGGCCAAACAGATACTACAGTAAATATGCGGTCGGAGCGATAGTATAACAGATAGGGCATTTGCCTTGAATGCAAGCCGACCCTGCATCCCATATGGTCCCCCGAGCATCGCCAGGAGTAATTTCTGAGTGCAGAGCCAGGAGGAGCCCCTGAGATCGCTGGGTGTGACCCAAAAAGCAAAAACAAATAAATAAGCAAACAAAAACAGTAAATAGGGTGCTGGCCTTACACCCTGGGCAACCTAGCTCTGATGCCTGGCACCCCACAGAATCCCACAAACCCCAGCAGGAGTGATCTCCGAGCGAAGAGCCAGGAGCAAGCCTGAGCACTACCAGGTGTGTCCCAACACCATCACCACGCCTCCCCACAAAAAAAAAAAAGAATAGAATCAAATAAGGAGCTTATGTAATCCCCAAACTTCCGTTTCTTCATTTTGTGGATTCTATCATTTTCTAAATTAATTTAGATTGTGATTATTCACAAGAGATTCACCATCTAGATGCTAGGTGGGAGAAATGGATCATGATTTGGAAATCTCATATCATTTCAATACGTGCGCGCACACACACACACACACACACACGCACACACGCACACGCACACACGCACACACTCTGATCTAAGCACCCAAGTACTCACCCCACAGTACTGCTCCTCGTTGAAGATCTGGGGCGGCAGAGGGATCCCGTTCTGCGGCTTTTTCTCTCCAGGGACGTTCTCCCTCATCCATTTCCTGTTGTCTTCGTCTCCGGCGATGTCTAACTCCTTAAAGTCGATTTTATTCGCTTCCAGAAAGCCCACCACCTCTTGCTGCTTCTTCCTAATCTGGTCACGAGTGGACAAAGATCATCATTAGGCGATTGGGGACAATGGTATGCTGTGAGCCTGGGCGAAGGACTGATCAGGGGGTGGAAGCACCAGCCTTGTGGGGGTGGGACCCCAAGGGTCACCCGGCAGGACCACAAGCAGCGCCAGGATGACCCAAGCAACCCAGCTGGGCCTGAGCAGAGTCACATCCAGGGGACAGAGGCAGCAGAGCATACTCCAGTGCTCTGAGAAGTCACTGAGAGTTGTGGGGCGGCCCTGGAGGCCCGGGCACCATGGGAGGCCCAGGCTGACCCCTGCATTCCTGAGTCTGAGCAGAGCCAGAGGCCCCAGGGGACCCGGAGCCCCCTCCAGGCAAAGGAGCTTGTGGGAGCTCCAGGCAGAGAACAGCAGGGAAGTCATGGGGACGAACGGGCACAGGGGAGACGGGGAGAGAACAGGAAGTAAGGGACTAGCCCTGCCTCCCCACTCCAGAGAGCCTGGTTCCATCCCTGGCACCCATGGACCCCACCAAGGTCCGTTCTGATACAGAACCAGGAAGAGCCACGCCCCCAGCCCTGCCCAATGGCTTCTATTCCCAGTCCTGATGGACAAGCTGCCACCAACTTGGTGGCCCTCCTTTCAAGGACCTCGGGGACAGATTTCCCAAATGCTCCATGGAAAATTCGTCAGACCCTGTGTAACTGGGGCCCTGCACTGAGCACCCCCAACCCCCGGAACAGACCTGTCAAGCATTTAGACAGAGGGGACAAGGCCATCATGGGTCCCCAAGAACAGTCTGGAGAGAGAGAGAAGCCCCTTAAAGACCCTGCAGGGGTCAGGGTTGGTCATTCATTAAGAAGAAATGTGCAGGGCTGGAGTGATAGCAGGGAGGGAGTTCGCTTTACACGCGGCCAACCCGTGTTTAATTCCCAGCATCCCATATGGTCCCCCGAACACCGCCAGGAGTGATTCCTGAGTGCAGCAGAGCCAGGAGTAACCTCTGAGCATCGTCGGGTGTGACCCAAAAATGCAAAAAAAGAGAAAAAAATAGTAATGTGCAATCAGCTTAACCAATGGCTGAATAAATAGCAGTGTTCCTACATTTTTTTTAATTTTTAATTTAAAGAAAAAGAAAAAAAGAAGTAATGTGAATGAGTGTTTGGGGATATGAAAATATCAAGGTATCAAGGATTTTTTTTTTTTTTTTGCTTTTTGGGTCACACCCGGCAATGCACAGGAGTTACTCCTGGTTTATGCACTCAGGAATTACTCCTAGCAGTGCTCAGGAGACCATATGGGATGCTGGGAATCGAACCTAGGTCAGCTGAGTGCAAGGCAAACGCCCTACCCGGTGTGCTATTGCTCCAGCCCCGAAAATATCAAGCACCTTTATTTTAATTTTTTTGTTTGATTTTTGGGCCACACTCAGAAATGCTCAGGGCCTACCACTGACTCTGCACTCAGGGTTCACTCCTGGCGGTGCTCAGGGGACGATATGGGGTGCTGGGGATTGAAACCAGGCCAGCCTTGTACAACCTTCCTTCCAACTGTGCTATCCCGAAGGCCCCAAATATCACGATTTGTTCAGCCTTCTGAACGTGGCCTCCTAATGAAAACAAGTCACCAGTGTTCCTGTCCTCCGAGGCCCTTGTTGCTTTCCTCTAACTTCTCCAGCAGTGAAGCTCTCAGCAGCACTTCTCAATGAAGGCTGTAAAGGGTACATGTGTCCCCCAAACTGAGTGTCTGAGTTCAACCCTCTTTCATTTCATTTGACTCCCTTCAGTAGGCTGTAAATCTCCCCCGTCAAAACGCCTGTTTTTTTTTTTTATATAGAACGACTGCATTCATTTGTGGTGATTGAGAAAATATATAGTAGAAGACTAATATCCATGGCCAGGAAAAACAGGGGCTAGGAGGATTGGTCAATGGTTGGAATCTACCACAGGAATGTGAGGGGCAGAGGGTAGGTAAGATAGAGAAGGGACCAGTATGACCATAAGAACTGGAAATGATCACGCTGGACAAGAACGGAGTGTTGAAACCCAAGCACAAAAATGTGTAAGTCTATAACTGTACCTCATGGTCTTTCACTAATAAAAATTTTAAAAAAAAAAAAAGAAATCACAATAAATTTCTGTGGCATTTTAAATAAATAAATAAATAAATAAAACCCCTTGCAAATTTAAAAAAAAACTGAGTGTTGAAAGCAGGTAAATGGATACACATGATAACCTTTTGGTATCTGTATTGCAAAGCACAGTGCACAAAAGGAGACAGAGAAAGAGAGAGAGATGGGGAGAGAGAGAGAGAGAGAGAGAAGTGTCTGCCATAGAGGCAGGCTGAGGGGTGGAGGTTTTGGGAGGGAACCTGGGGACACTGGTGCTGGGAAATGTACACTGGTGGAGGGATGGGTGTTGGAACTCTGTAGGACTGTAACCTAATGAACTGCTTTGTAGTGTTCACAGTGTAATCACACAGTGATTCAATAAAAATAATAAATAAATAACCTGTTTTTCTTCACTTCCGCCCAAAAGAATGAGTCAAGCAGTTTGCTATGTTGAGTTTTCCTGGGGTGGGCTCACTGGTAGAGCACAGAAGACACTGACCTGTCTTAGAGAGCATCTCACTAGAAAGAAAAGTACAACCCAGGGCCCAGCGAGCACAGGAGTTAGGCGCTTCCCTGCATCCCCTTCCCCTGGTTCAAAACCCCTGGCAATATTTATGGTTCCCCAAACAGCACCAGGAGTGAGCCCTGAGCAGAATCTGGAGAAGCATTACTGGGTGTGGTCCAAACACCAATGAAGAAAAAGACCCGAGCAACCTAACCCTGGCATGAAGTTATGTGGAGTGTGTCGCTTGAATCCCCGATATCCCGTATGGTCCCCTAAGCACCATCAGGAGTAATTCCTAAATGCATGAGCCAGGATTAACCCCTGTGCATCGCTGGGTATGACCCAAACAAGCAAAAATAAAATAAAATAAAATAAAATAAAACTTCAGGGGACAGGAGTGATAGCACAGCGAGTAGGGCGTTTGCCTTGCACACAGCTGATCTAGGTTTGATCCTCGGCATCCCATATGGTCCCCTGAGCACTGCCAGCAGTGACTCCTGAGTGCAGAGACAGGAGTGACCCCTAAGTATCGCTGGCTGTGACCCAAAAAGCAAAATAATTAAATTAATTAATTGAATTAAAACTTCAGAAGACATGGGGCTGGAGCAATAGCACAGCAGGTAGGGCGTTTGCCTTGCACGCGGCCGACCTGGGTTCGATTCCCAGCATCCCATATGGTCCCCTAAGCACCGCCACAGGTGATTCCTGAGTGCAGAACCAGGAGTAACCCCTGTGCATCGCCAGGTGTGACACAAAAAGAAAAAAAAACTTCAGAAGACATACCTATTGTTGGGGGGATCACATCCAATGGTGCTCAGGGCTTACTCTTGGCTCTGCACTCAGGCATCACCCCTGGCAGGCTCAGGGGACTGTATGGGGTACTGGGGATTATACTTGGTCCTCTGTGTGCAAGGCAAGTGCCCGACCTGTTGTACCCTCTCCAGCCCCTGAGATGGAATATCTTGATTCAGACCAAACCACTGTCTTCCTTCCTTCTCCAACCTTCTCGGCAACCCTCCACCTCCAGAGCTGCACGTGTTATTTACAGCTCTCTCGTCTCCTTTCTTATTCCTTCTAAGCAGTGCTCAAGAGGCCACAGGGCCCCTCCCAGCAATCCTTCACCAACCAAACCCACGGCTCAGTGCAAGGACTCGAGGGCTCGGCGCTGCTCCGGGCCGGCACCAGGGGTGACCCAGGAGGGTTGGCCAGGCCGGCCAAGTGCGGGCAAGTGCTTCTTACCTGTTACCCTCCAGCCTCTATTCCCAGCTCTCAGAGTTGAGCCTCAGCGTGGGAGGTGGAATAGAAAAAGGGTTTCATCCTATCTCAGCACTTTTGGGTTTTGCTTTCTGGTTTTGGGGTCACACTTGGTGATGCTCAGGGATTACTTTGGGCTCGAGTCTCAGGAATTACACCTGGAAGTGTTCTGGGGACCACACAGCATGCCAGAGATCAAAACCGGGTCCGTCACCTTCAAGGCAAATGCCTTCCCTGCTGTACTATGTCTCCAGCCCCATTTATCAAAACACTTCTGAATAGATTAAAAAGAAAAAACAGACTTTTTTCCTGAGACCTGATTTACATTTCTTTTTTTTTCTTTTTCTTTGGTTTTGGGGTCACACCCGGCAATGCACAGGGGTTACTCCTGGCTTTACACTCAGGAATCACTCCTGGCAGTGCTCGGGGGACCCTATGGGATACTGGGAATTGAACCCGGGTTGACCGCGTGCAAGTCAAACACCCTACCCGCTGTACTATCGCTCCAGTGCCCTGATTTATATTTCTGATAGAAAGTCAGAGACAGAGAGAGTTGGGGTGTGTGTGTGTGTGTGTGTGTGTGTGTGTGTGTGTGGAGAGAGAGAGAGAGAGAGAGAGAGAGAGAGAGAGAGATCTGTGCACCCTTATTTCCAGCAAGACAGCAATTGAATGTGGTGGGAGGGGTGTCAGATGCAGAACACTGGGGTTTTAGCGATACTGCTCAGCCCCCCACCCCAATCCCAAACACAGAAAAGTTAAAGCTGCCCCTGAGTCTTCCCAAAAAACAGCCACTTACACTGAGCCAGGTGCACGGCCCCTCAGCTGCCTGGGGCTCTGAGCTGGACAGGGGTGTGAGCCAGCCCAAACAGTGTGATCACCCATGCCCACTCCCGGGCACCGCCTCCCTGCAGCACTCCCCTCAGGGGCCCAATTCAAGGAGCCCCCAGTCCTCTTCTCTGGGGGGGGGCGATGAACCCCGGGGACACAGCACCAGAGGGGGGCGCCCTTGATGGCACCAGGAGGGGCATGCAAAGCAGCCCACTCTTATCTCCCCCCAACTCTCCCTGAGCCCCGTCATGGCTGGCGCCTCCCACCCAGCCGTGCCTCTCTGGTCCTTGGGTTCTGCATCAATTGGAGCCGAGGGAGCGTGGGGGTGCCGTAGCCCTCTCCTGTCACAGTAACCCCTGAGAAAGGGGCTTCTCTGTCCCAACAGCCCCCGGCTGCCGCTGGAGGTGACGATGCTCAGCTCCTCCCTTCACTGCATCCCTCGGGGACCTTTCCCAGTCAAGGTCTCTGTGCTGACTGGCCTGAAGCCCCCCCCCCCACAGCTGTCCCCTGAGCGAGGGGCAGGCCTGTTCACAGGCCGCCCACAGATGCCCTGCACACCTGGTCCTTGGCGCTGGCAGGTGTGTGCTCTGATCACTGCGTTAAAACAACACGGTGCCACGGAGACTTGGCAGGGTAGACTCCCAGCCCCTGGGACTCTGGGGCTGAGAGGGGCCCCTCTGTCGAGGGTGGTGGAAGGCATGGGAAGTGCGGGGGCCACGGCTAGGGGCTGTCCTCAAGATCACGGCTCCAGGGCCAGTGGAAAAGGTTAGAGGCACAAGCGGGGAAACTCGAGGCGAGGCAGAGATGCTGAGTGACTCCATCCCAGGAGTCAAAGATGAGCAGGTCATAAAGTACAAAGGTGCCACGGGAGCGGAACACCACGGGAACAAACTACTCAGGGTGCTTGAGCAGGACCGGAATGGGGTCACAGAGGAGGTTGCTTATGGTCTGAGGGGAGGGGACAGGCGGCCCTTTGCACCCGTGGTGCTGGAAGCTGACACACTCAGTAGCTGCAGTGGCGCCCTGCCCCCCAACCCCCATCCCTGCATTCCCAGAGGCTCCCTAGGGGATCAAATCCTGGCTGGCCAGCGTCTGCAGACACCACAGCTGCAACCTGAGATGCTGGGGGGTGGGGGTGGGGGGCGCTCGATATAAAAGGAACAGACCCTGACACTCCACAGCATTGGGGTCACACCCCGCTCTCTGTGCAGTCACCCCAACTTCTGCCAAAACACTGGCAGGTGAGAAACAATATAGCACGTGGGACGCTCGACTTGCATGCCTCTAACCCGGGTTGGATCCCTAGCACCCCATCTGGTCCCCCGAGACCCCAGGAGTAAACCCGGAGTACTGATGGGTAGGACCCCAAACAAAAATAAATAAATAAACGAATAAAATGCCACGGAAATGTTAAGTTCCTGGTAGACGGGCAGGTTGGCAGGTCCCAGCCACAGACCAAAGCTTGGAAGGTTTCCCAGGAGGAAGGAGTGCCTGGACCGTGCAACGACCCCCATGGCAGCTTCAGAGGGCCCAGACTGAAGTCTAGAAGTGGAGGAGAGGGGGCCAGAGCCGCGATTCCCAGCCTTTGTCTCAGGGAAAGGAGACAGACCAATGCCGGCCGCTATTTTTGGTGTTTGGATTCCTAGAGCATTGAAAACCGTCGCCTTATGGACATTTGTACTTGTCACTGTGACATCATTTGCCTCAAATAATAGTATTGCCCAGGCTGAATGCAGAGTTTTGGAACAAGGAATTACACTGTGGAGTGGCCCTGCCAAGCTGGCTCGTCTGCACTCCAGATAAAGCTCTCGGGCAGGGGGGTCGCTTACTTGCAAGGTGTTGGTGCTCACTGAGTGTACTCCCGGCTTGGGGCATTAGCTCAGCTTCTTATCAACAACTTGAAAGTCTAAGTCCTACAGGACAAATGGCAGCACACTCCCTGCCCCCCACCCCCAACAGCCGTGAGCTCCTCCACTATCCAAGAGGACACACACACACACACACACACACACACACACACACACACTCGCGCATGAAAACCCTCTCGCGCCCCGGGAACCACATACACGTTCCAGAGACACCCACCCCCACCAACGCCCTGATTGCAGAGGCAGAAGGCCAAGGGTAGGCACAGGCTGCTGCCCCCGCGACCCCCTCCAGCCCCCAAAGCAAGGCAAGCCCATCGCGGGCCAGGCGGGCTGCCCAGAGAACAGCGTGCGCCCACACGCGGCCCCCCGGACACCTACCGCGATGGACCCGGAGGATGTGGCCACGAAGACTCTGATCACCATGTCGCTGGTCGGGAGGAGGACAGCCCCCCACGCCGCGCCGCGCTGCCCGGGGCCGAGCTGGAGCCGGACACTGAGCCGGCGCGCGCGGGTGCCAGGTGCGCTCGGGCTGGTCAGCGCCGCGGCCCCTCCGCCCGGCCGGCCCGGGGGCGTGCCCCTCCATTGGCCCGCGAGGATTTGGGATCTGTCCGGAAAATGTGTGATTGGTGGATAAAAGCGGCCGCTGGACCCTGTCCCTTCTCGCCGCCGATGCCCGGCAACAGTCCCTAAAAGGCGAAGCTGTGCGCGCACCAATCCGCGCGCCGGGACGCCTGGGCAGGCGGGGCCCGGGCCCGGCCGGGGCCAGGGCAGGCACCAGCCCGGACAGGGCCGCGGAGCCCGCCAGGGGGGCCCCAGCCGCTTCCTGTAGGCGGTTCTCCTGCCCCCTGAGAAAAGATATTAGTAAACTCAGGGCCAGAGATTGCTTCTCGAGCCGCCGGGCCCCGGGGGGCTTCTCTGCTTTCCCCACCTGTTGCTCTTTAAAACCGCCAGACCTTGATTCTGGATAGCTCCACTAACATCTCAGACCTGTTGGCCAGCCCTAACGATCCTCACGGGGGACAAGAAGTCAGAAAACAAACCCCCACCACCACCCCCCAAAAAAGACTAGGGACCAGAGCCCGTGGGGAGGGTGTTTGCCTTGCCCGTGGCCAACCCGGGTTCAATCCCTGGCATCCCAGATGGTCCCCCAAGCACCACCACCAGGAGTGATTCCTGAGTGCAGAGCCAAGAGTAACCCCTGAGCATTGCTGGGTGTAACCCAAACAACAACAACAACAAAGACTATACAGGCTCTGTTCATTTTGTTTCTATAGATATTCACTGGAATTGTTCACAGTTAGAGAAATCCGGGTCTGGAGCCATAGCGCGGTGGGTAGGGCGCTTCCCTCTAGGCAGCCAACCACGTTCCATCCGAGGTACCCTGTATGGTCCCCTGAGCCAGCCAGGTGTGATCCCCTAGGAGTAAAGCCCTGATCACCACAGGATGTGACCCCAAAAGCAAGTTAGACAAACCCAAGCTGCCAACACATGGAGTCCATCCAAATGCTTGGCACAGCTGCAGAGAGTGGCTGTGGCCACTGAGGTCTACCTTCTAAAGATGGAGACAAAGTGGACGGGACACTCTATTTAGGAGGAAGTAAAAGACAATCAGTGGATAGCTTTACCTGGATGTGGTGTACAAATAAAGGAAAGCAATCAACTGGCAGGAAGGTGGGAAATTGACTCAAATTTGGCTGAAAACAACGGAAATGTGTCTCCGTGGAGGCCCTTGGGTTCAACTCCCAGCACCCTCAAGGTTTCCTGAGCACTCCCAAGATGGACTGTGGCGTCTCAAGCCTCAAGAAAAGGATGGTGGGTGCTGTAGGGGGTGAAGGTGAGCAAAGGGGTCTTTTGGGGGGTGATATGGCCCTAAGTCTGGTGGCAGAACTAACCAGTTACAAAGTATTAAGCCTATAGCACTGTAGCACTGTCCTCCCGTTGTTCATCGATTTGCTCCAGTGGGCACCAGGAACGTCTCCATTGTGAGACTTGTTGTTACTGTTTTTGGCATATTGAATATGCCACAGGGAGCTTGCCAGACTCTGCCATGAGAGCGGGATACTCTCGGTAGCTTGCTGGGCTCTCCGAGAGGGAGGGAGGAATCAAACCCAGGTTGGCTGTGTGCAAGGCAAACGCCATTTTTACTTATTTTATTATTTGATTCACTGTATTATAATAAAGATTATGTAAAATTTGTAGTCTGCCTTTTTCACTGCTATAATTAAAACAAAAAGTATTAAAAAAGAAAAATAGGCCCGAGAGATCATACAGACATTAAACCATTTGCCTTGCATGCAGCTGTGGCCATGAACCTGGTTGAAATAACTTCACCACATATTAAGCACAGAGCCAGGTAGGACCTCGGCTAAGCCCTGGAAATTCATTACATAGCAAACCAAAAGTCAATGAAACATTTCATTTTTTGTTTGTTTGTTTTTTTGGGGGGGTCACACCCAGTGGTGTTCAGAGGGAACTACTGGTTCTACACTCAAGAATTATTCCTGGTGGTGCTCAGGGGACCAAATGGGATGCCAGGGATCAAACCCGGATGGGCTGATACAAGGAAAGCTGTACTATGCTCACACCATGAAACTGTCACTGTCGCTGTCCTCCCGTTGTTCATCAATTTTCTCGAGCGGGCCCAGTAACGTCTCCACTGTGAGACTTTGTTGTTACTGTGTTTGGCATATCGAATACATCTTGGGGAGCTTGCCAGGCTTTGCCATGCAGGCGAGATACTCTCGGTGGCTTGCTGGGCTCTCCGAGAGGGGCAAAGGAATCGAACCCGGGTCTGCCATGTTGGCTGCATGCTCCAGTGATAGCACAGCGATAGGGCATTTGCCTTGCACGCAGCCGGCCCGGCCGAACCGGGTTCAATTTCTCCGCCCCTCTCCGAGAGCCCGGCAAGCTACCAAAAGAAAGTGTCTCATGGTGTTTCACTAATAAAAATTTAAGGAAAAAAAAAAAAGAAAGTGTCTCGCCCACACGGCAAAGCCTGGCACTCCATGAAACATTTACATTTTAAATGTGACTCGAGATCCATGTAGAAGTGCAAATACTAGCCTCCCAACTCTTCCTGCAGGCTTCAAAATCAAGACAGAGCATTAGATGATGTAGGGAACCCTGTCATGCATGCAACCAACTCAGGTTCCACTCATGCACCTCATCTGGTCCCCCAAGTCCCGCCAGGAGTGACGACTGAACAGAGTCAGGAGAAAGCTCTGCCAGGCCCCAAATACAAAAAAAAAAAAGACATTTGGATATTTGGCCCCAGTGGGATTCGCAACCGGCGTCTCCTTGTGTGAAAGCCCCTGGCGGAGGGGTTCAGAGTGAAGCGAAAGTTAGAGGGGGTGCGGGGACTGGTCAGGCTCCGGTGCAGCCTTTTCCCAGAACACACACACTTCCCTGAATCTCCAGAGCCGCTTTTCTCCCTCTGCGTGTCTGTAGAAGTTTATCATCACGGTCATCACGGTCCTCCCGTTGTTCATCGATTTGCTCGAGCGGGCCCAGTAACGTCTCCATCATGAGACTTGTTGTTACTGTGTTTGGCATATCGAATACGTCACGGGTAGCTTGCCAGGCTCTCCGAGTAGCTTGCCAGGCTCTCCGAGAGAAGTTTATCAAACTAGTAATTTTACCAGATGAGATTCTTAACTGTTAACACTGAGGACTGAGATGTCAGCATATTTTTTATTTTTTTTTTTTTGGATTATGTGTACCTAGGTCGAGAAGTCAACATGACGAATGACCTGACACCTGAGTTGCTCAGGAGGAAGAGAACGGCTTGGAATGCCTTCAAGAGCATCGAAGAAATAACTAAGAGGACGAAGAACCTCCAACTCCGAACACGTCTCTTTGATTCCACTGTTCTTCCTGCATTAACATATGCTTCAGAGACCTGCGTTCTATGAAAACAGGATGAGAACGCTATTCGGGTCTCTCAAAGAAGAATCGAAAGAGCTATGCTTGGAGTATCACACTTCACTCAAATGAGAGAAAGAATCCGGAGTTCCGACCTCCGTCAATGCTCAAGAATCAGGGACGCTGTCTCGTTTGCCAAGGCATCGAAAATCAGATGGGCTGGACACGTAATGAGATTTGAAGATGACCGCTGGACTAGAGTCATTACCGACTGGATTCCACGGGACATCAAAAGATCGCGTGGCCGCCCACCTACAAGATGGTCAGACTTCTTCGTCAAGACCCTGAACGATCGGTTTGAGGCTCTTTGTGTTCCTAGAACGAGCAGATGCCATTGGGCTATGCTAGCACGCAACAGAGATGAGTGGATATGTTACTGGCACCCGCTCGAGCAAATCAATGAGTAACGGGATATCAAGTGATCAAGTGTTTTTGGATTTGGGCCACACCCCACAATGCTCAGGGGTTACTCCTGGCTTGCACACAGGAGTATGCAAGAGACCATATGGTATACTAGTGATTGAACCCCAGTCAGTTGCATGCAAGGCAAGCAGTCTACCTGCGGTACTATCTTTTTGACCCCTAAATATCAACAAATTTTAAAGTAGAATAATTTCACTAAACTGAAAGGAACTTGTTTAAGTAAATGGCTTTTTGACAAAAACACTTTCCTATTTTCAAAGAGTATTTCCCATGAAGGTAAGAATGAACGAGAAATAAGTATTCTTCCTCACTGCAATAAACTAGGAAGCTAGTATATTGTTAATGGCTATGGTGAATTTGCTCTTTAGTCAACATTGTATTTAATTAAAGTCATTTATGGCTGGAGCAATAACACATTGGGTAAGGCTTTTGCCTTTCACGCGGCCGACCCGGTCGGCCCAGGTTCGATTCCTCTGCCCCTCTTGGAGAGCCCGGCAAGCTACTGAGAGTATCTCACCCGTACGGCAAAGCCTGGCAAGCTACCCATGACGTATTTGATATGCTAAACACAGTAACAAGCTTTGCAATGGAGACGTTACTGGGCCCACTTGAGCAAATCAATGAACAACGGGAGGACAGTGCTACAGGGCTATCCTCTTACTAAGGTCCATGGAAATATGCAAATTAGAAATGTGTGGATTCCAGCAGGGAGATTTTATGGTGACACCAACCAGCTTCTAAAACAAAAGTGTTAGGGGCTGTAGAGGTGACAGCGCAGCTAGGGTGCTTTCTTGCACACGGGTCAACCATATTTGATCCCCGACACCCCTTCTGATCCCCTAAGCCCCACCAGGAGTAATCCCTGAGCACAATGCCAAAAGTAAGCTCTGGTGCAGCTTACTTACTGCAGGTGCAGTCCAAATTTTTTTTAACTTTTTTTTTTTTTTTGCTGATTTTTGGGTCACACCCAGTGATGCTCAGGGGTTACTCCTGTCTCTGAACTCAGGAATCACTCCTGGCGGTGTTCAGGGGACCATATGGAATGCTGGGAATCGAACCCGAGTTGGCTGCATGCAAGGCAAATGCTCTACCCGCTGTGCTATTGCTCCAGCCCCCTCAATTTTTTTTTTAATAAATGAATAAAAGTGTCAGGCATTCCAAGAGCAGTTTCAAATAAAATTCAGCGTCTGGCTCTTAAATATGGAAATAAACTGCAATTT